TATCTTCTAACACGCTGCTGTGCCTTGCCCGTCCGCCGCCAGGCACATCGAGAAGGTTCCCTGATTTTTCAGAGACAGCTGCAGTGCCGTCTGCTGCCAATATTTAGAGACTCCTGGGGGGTGACTGTGCTCTGTGCGGTTGCCCCCCGGGGGGCCCCCGGGGGGGTCCCCAGGGGCCCCCGGGGGGCCCCCGGGAGCCCCTCGATATGTCTAGAGTGGTATTGAAGGAATATGAAGAAACCCCTGCGGGGCCCACAATGCCAACAGGAAATATAATAATAGACTCTGTGAACCGTTTTCTAGATGAGTTGTACTTTGGCAAAGAAGAAGTGCAGCAGCAGCAGCTGCTGCTGCAGCAGCAGCAGCAGCAGCAGCGTGCGGCTGCAGCGGCGGCAGCTGCGGCGCGGCCAGAAACAGCAAACAAGTGCAGAGGCAGCACAGACTACAGGGCCTTTTTGCTTTCTCTTTGTTCTTTTCCTTCTTTTCAAAAAGCTTCTTTTCCTCCACTTCCTGCTGCAGTGCAGCAGGGGCGTTTTGCTGCTCTGGACCCTTTTTCAAGAGAGCTGCTGAGTCAGCTTTCCCAGGAGGAAGCAGAAGTGTATTTGCCTTACATTCACTTCCACAGGCCGCTGCTGCAGCAGCAGCGGCAGCAGCAGGAGCTCCTGCTGCAGCAGCAGCTGCAGCAGCAGCAGCAGCAGCAGCAGCTGCGGCAGCAGCAGCTGCAGCAGCAGAACAGAGGCAGGAGCACCCCGAGGGAGGCGCGGCTGCTGCGGCCAACGGCGGTCTATTCCGGCAGAAAAGACAGCAGCAGAAAGGTAAGCAGCAAAACAGCAAGCAACTAGGCCTGCTGCTCGTGCTGCTGCTGCTGCTGCTGCTGCTGCTGCTGCTGCTTCTGGGTGCAGCAGAACGGCTGCTGCGCAGCATTTGACACTTAACAAGGCGACGCAGGAGCAGCAACTCCGGCAGCAGAAACAAGTGCAGCAGCGGAAACAACTGCAGCCGCAAGAGCAACAGCAGCAGCAGCTGCTGCTGCAACAGCAGCAGCAGCAGCTCTTCTTGCGCAGCGCAGTCGCCTCTCTTTAGGGTGTCTCGACAGCTCGGGGGCCGGAGAGGCAGAAAGCCAGCAGCAGCAGCAGCTTCCTGGCTCTTCTGCTGCTGCTGCTCTTGCTGCTGCGGTTGCTGCAGCTGATGCAGTGGCTGCAGTAGCTGCTGCTGATGCTGTTCTTGCTGCTGCAGTTGTTTGTGCTGCTGCACTTGTTTCATTTTGCTTCCTTTTGCAAATTCAGAAACATTGTAATTTCAAATAAATTTATTTAAAACCAAAAAGCTTTCTGCAGCAGCAACCCAGCGCCTCTCGCCGCAGCCAACTCACTGGCTAGCCAGCTAGCTAGCCACGCAGCTAGCTAGCCACTCAGCCAGCTAGCTAGCTAGCTGGCCACTCTGTCAGCTAGCTAGCTAGGCCTAGCTACACTAGCTAGCTAGCTAGCTAGCTGGAGTGCCTGGCTAGGTGGATGGCTAGCTAGCTAGGATGCCTGGCTTAGCAGCTCTTCGTAGCTAGCTAGTTGGCTAGCTAGGTAGTGTAGCTAGCTAGCCAGCTAGCATGGCGTAGTAGCTAGCTAGCTAGATGGCTAGCTAGTGGCTAGCTAGCTAGCTGTGCCCCCTGCGTCCTTTTCTGTAAGCTTTCGCTAGCTGGCAAGCTAGCTGCTCAACTAGCTAGCTGCAGGACTACCCGGAAGGCCAGCTAGCCAGCGACGCAGCTAGCTAGCTAGCCAACTAAATAGCTAGCTGGCTAGCTAGTCAGCTAGCTAGCCACTGCTGGCTAGCTAGGGATAGGAGGGGGCATACACCCCTGCAGGCAGCAAATGTTTGTGAACTGCATTCGCCACTAGGGCCCCGAAGCCTGAAGCAGCAAACCCCGCGCTGCTGCTGCTGCTGCTGCTATTGCTGCTGCTGCTGCTGCTGCTGTTGCTGCGTTTCTTCGACGCAGCTGGGCCTCCCTTGCTGGCACTCAGCTTGAATAGCAGGCAGCAGACAGCGCAACAATGCTGTTGCTGCTTGCAGCACTGTCTGCTGCTGCTGGAGCGGCAGCAGCAGCAGCGGCAGCGGTGTTTGCTGCTGCTCCCATTATGTGCTGTTTCTTGCTGCTGCTTCTTTTAGCTGCTGCAGCACGAGCCCTCAGGAGTCACTTCATCGAGAACAGACGCATGCAGATCTGTAGCTCGCCCATAGACGGCGTCGCGAGGCTGTCCGCTGCTGCCGCTGCTGCTGCTGCTTCTGCTGCTGCTCCTCCCGTTGCTGCTGTTTCTTCTGCTGCTGCTGCTTCTGCTGCTGCCTCCCAATCCATGGCCTCGTCCTCTTGCCTGCTCCCTTCAAGCTCTGCCTCTCGAGCCGCAGCAGCTCGTGCTGCTGCGGAGTCAGCTTCAGCAGCAGCAGCAGCAGCAGCAGCACCGCCGCGGCCAGCAGCATTTTCTCCACTGCTGTTCCCTGCTGCTGCTTGCTGCTGCTGCTGCGAAGGCCCTGAAGCCCCACTCGCCGAAGCAGCAGGTCTGGCCCCCCACGGCGCGGGGCGCACTCTACGGCGCTGCCGGCGAAAGGGCCCCTGCTGCTGCTGCTGCTGCTGCTGCTGCTGAGGATCATCTTCGTCAATGAGAGCCACCAAGGCTGACAGCAAATGGTTCTTTTTGAACTCTGCTGATGTGGGAATGCGCGTCAGGAACAGCGGGTGGTCTTCTATGGAGGGTTCCGCAGCAGCAGCAGCAGCAGCGGCAGCAGCAGCGGCTGCTGCCGCCTCTTCCCCTTCTGCGGCCATTCTGGAAGCAGCAGCAGAATCAAAGGCGCTGCATGCCGACTGGCATTGCGGTGAGCCGGCAGGCGCAGAGAGTGGACTGAAGAATCCTGCTGGTGCTGCTGCTGCTGCTGCTGCCGATAGCGGGCGCCGTTCGGCAGATTACTGGCGGCATTTAGGCGGGAAATGGGAAATGAAAGTAAATTCCTTTTTGAAAGAGAATCTGGGGCACAAAAACGCCGAAGATTCCCTCCTGAGAAGTTCGTCGCCACCAGCCCCAGCGCGCGGACTTGAACAGGCGCGAATACGCAAGAAACTCGGGTCTATACGACTCCCAGAGAGTTGAAAGCCAAAAAGAAAAGAGTTTTCGCTCTAAAGGGAGAAGTTATTTGCAATTTGAAGGCCAACTTCAGCAAAGTTCAAAGAGATGCCGCCGGACTGGCTGCATGCAAGTTGAATTGCTGCGTCGACCGCGCGGGCGGAAAGCAGCAGATTTCCCCTCTTTTAAGCGCTGTTTCCCTCAAATAAATGCAAATAAATGTATTTATAAACATTTCAATTTAAATGAACCTCTTTTTCCGGCGAATTCCCACACGCCTGCGCCGAAACGCTGCCTGCTGTTCCTCCTCAGTGAGCCGCTGCCGACTGCAGCCTCAATAGGAGTTCTCAGGTAGCCACCCAACCCCTTCGCAGCAAACAAACAAATTAAAATCGACAAATTAAAAACAAATAAATGAACTAAATTTAAAACTGGAAAGCCGGAGCTGAATTGAATTTCGCGCCGCTGCTGCCGCTGCTGCTGATCATTCAAGTTCCCGCTGCGTTCATGTTTGGCCACTTTCGCCAGCTCAAGCGATCTTCAGCTTTTTTCCCCTTTAATTTTTTTTAAATTATTTATTTTACTTTATTTTATTAATTCAATTTTACAAGTTTTGGCCTGAAGTACCTTGCGGAGGCACTGCTGCTGTTACTCACCTGCAGGGTCTGCTTGCTCTTTGGCCCTGCGCGCAACACGGCAGCAGCAACTTGGGGGGAAAGAAAAATGGAATTCAGGGAGTGGAATTTGAAAACATTTAAAACATAAAAACAATTAAATTAAATTAAGTTAAATTAAATTCAAAATTTGAAATGAATTTGAAATATTAAAGCGGATTTATTCGCCGCTGTAGGCTCATGCGGCTGCGGAAACCGGAGGCGATCAGGACTTGCACGGCGCTTCTGCGGGAGCTTTTTGCGGCGATTGAACGCGAATTAACTCCAATTCGAACAATTAAAACAATTAAAACGAGTTAAAACAATTAAAAACAATTTAAAACGTCAAGAACCATTTAATTCAGTTCAAAAACCCACGGCCGCTCCCAAATGCCGCTGCGATCGCGCGGCGTCGGGGCCTCCGTGTCGCTGCTGCTGAAGATTTCGGGGGCAGCAGTTTTGGCTTTTATAGCTTCTCTTTTGCGATGTGACCTGTACATACACCTCAAATTTGCAAATTAAATCAAACTCTCCATTCTTTTTAATGCCATTTCCTCTTTTCCGCGCTCCAAATGGCTCCCTGCTGCCCCCAGAAACCCTAAACCCTAAACCCTAAACCCTAAACCCTCAACCTGAACGAAGCCAGTAACTGGCTGCTGGCCTGTAGATACACCTGGAGCCAGCCGCTGCCGCTCCAAACCCTCGGCGGGCCTGGCGTAGGGTTTAGGGTTTCCGCGGGTTTGGGGTTCCCGAGGGTTTAGGGTTTAGGGTTTAGGGTTTACCTGTAGTTCGCGCAGTGAATTATACCCACTGTTGCCACTGCCCCCAAAACAAAGGCCACCAAAATCATGCAGGGCACAAACCACTTTTCCCCTCCCGGTTCTGCTGCTGCAGCGCAGCAGCAGCGCAGCAGCAGCGCAGCAGCAAATTGCATGCGCGTGAGAAGCAAAATGAAAAGAAGCCGCAGCGCAGCAGCAGCGCAGCAGCAAATCGAATTTGCGGGGAAGCAGCAAAAAGGAAATAAAAGAATTAATTGAAGATCAAAATGGAAAAGTGAAACTATAAACAAAAGAAAGGGATAATAAAGCAGCAGCAAACATAAATAAATACACAAATAAACAAATCAATAAATAAATAATAACTAAATCCAATTTTAAAAGATAAAATTAATCTTAAAATAATATTTAAAAAGGAGACCAAAAAGCTACAGACAGATGGGGAGGAAAAGCCGCTGCAGCAACAGCAGCAGCAGCAGCAGCAGCAGCAGCAGCAGCAGCAGCACAGCAGCACTTAATAAATAGGCAAATAAGTAAATTAATATATAAATAAATAATAGACGAATAAACAAGCAAACAAATAAATAAACCCAAATAAATAAATAAATAAATGAGTGAATACATGAATAAATAAATAAACAAATAAATAAGTGAATAAATGGTGAAACAAACAAACAAATAAATAAACAAATAAATAGCGAATAAATAATTAATTAAATAAAATAAATAAATAAGCAGACAAATAATAACAACGTACGTGGCTAACTACTCAAATGAATTAATTAATTGGTTAATAAAATAAATAAAACAAACATTTAAATACGTTAATTAATTAATTAATTAATCAATTAATCAATTAATTGATTAATTAATTAATTGTTTTATATATATATTTATTTATTTATTTATCTATTTATTTATTTATTCAATATTAATTAGTTCCTTACTGGCATCTGTTTCGCCGTCTTGCTGCTGCTGCTGCTGCTGCTGCTGCTGCGAAAGTTCTGTTTGTTTGCTCCCAAGTTTTAAAGCATTTCCCAAGACAAGTCGACAGAAAAAGGCAAAAGAAGCAAAATATAAAAGAAAGCTGCTGCAGCTGCGGGGCCCCGCAGCAGCAGCAGCAGCAGCAGCAGCAGCGGCGGTTGCCGCAGCAGCAGCAGCAGCAGCTGCTGCTGCTGCTGCTGCAGGCACCTGTCGCGCCCCCATTTTCAGGCAAATGCGGCGACGGCTTTTCTGCCTTTTTTGCTTCTTTTGAATTTATTTTAATTTATTTTAATTTATTTTATATTATTTTATTTATTTTATTTTATTTATTTATTTATTTTAATTCTTTATATTTCTTTTTGCTTCCTCTGCTGCTTATTTGCTGCTTATTTCTCTTTTGTGTCCTTTTGTTTTTATTTTTATTTAAAGGCAAGCTGCAGCAGCAGCAGCAGCAGAAT